TCTCCTTCCCAAGGGCTGTGGTCATAGGCCCACACCACCACAGACTACCACGCTTGCCCAGGATATTTGAAAAGTCATTAATGTGCTGCTACTTTGTAAAAAGAAAAAAAAAAAGACAGAAAAAATTACAATGAACTCATTTGGGTTTTACAAAAAAGTGTAAAAATATAGGCAACTTACAGTACTTCCTTTGAGAAAGACTGAATCTCAGGAAATAGACATATCTGCGGCCTCATGTGCCTATATACTGCTTTAATTTGGTTTTTGTTGTTGTTGTTTTACAATTTTAAAAAGTGACTGCGTACATTTTATAACAAATTTCACCTAAAGGAAAAATCTCTATTTGTAAGCATTGTTTGAATACTTTCAAAGGAATTAAGAAAAGGCATCTTCCTGGAAGGCAAGCTCACCAATCAATTCCATGAATCACTTACTCTTCCTGGAAACCTCAAATGGCCAACATGTGATACCTAATTTGAAAAACAATGTAATAAAGAGGGCAGTTGTGAGAAACTTTAAAACCTAAGTAGTTTAGCCAGTGTTTCCTGACCGTTCCCTTTGACTCAATAGCCATTAGTCAGACCCAGTCAGCAGCCGCATCAAGGGTAAAATATAGGAGCTCTGTTGCTCTCAGTGTGTGCTAGCCCAGTTCGGGTCTTGTGTGCGCTTTTTGCAAAATGAAATTGCTTTGCTGAGCTGACACTAGAAAAGGGGGAAGGAGAAAATTTCTCTTCCTGATGATGCACATTTATCAGGAAACCTACTGATAAAGACCATTTTTAAAATGTGAAAACACTTTCAAATTAATTTATATTAACTTGAAATATTTTTCCTTGACACATAAAAACTATACATGCATCTTTATCATACACAGTGTGCTCTGAAATACAGACTCAAGCTCATTTAAAATATATTTTCTCAGATTTTTGTGGTTAGAACACTTAAAACCTACTTTGTTACAAATTTTCAAACTATGATACATTGTTCTCACTCTAAACACCAGCGACACAACAGACTTGCAGAGCTTAACTGAATTTCGTGTCTTTGGAGCAACATCTCTTAACCTTTTATCTCCCTGTCCTTAATAATTATCACTTTTCAGGATTTCCACCTGTCTGGCTTTTTTTTCTTTTTAAGATTCCACATGTAAGTGAGATCATGTGACATTTGTCTTGCTGTGCCTGCCTGGTTTCTTGGAACATAATGCATTCCAGGCTCATCTGTGTTTTTAAATAACGTGATTTCCTTCGTTAGAACCAAGTAGTATTCCACCGATATCTCACACTAGATTTAAACGCTGCCCTGTCCGGAAGTGAAGAGCATGCTCTGGCGTGGCTCCCTCTAAGATGCTCCACTGGAAATCTGCAAACGAAGCAACTGTTCCCGATGATGTGCATCGTTGTCTTTGCTGTCCTGCTGGTCCAGTGACTTTCTTACACAGCTCTTCAGCTCCTCAATCCCCTCCCCAGTAACCGTGGAGATGGGGATGATATGTTGGAACTCCACAGCCTTCTCTGGAAGCATGCTTTTTTCAAATAAATGCAGAAAATCTGAAACAAAGAATAGGTGGTTTTCACAAACTTTTTAAAAAAATAAGTCCAAATTATGCAGAGGTTTGATCTGAAAAGCAAGAAACTGACAACTTAGCACCAGGAACTCCTCCCCTGCTCTGCCCTGTCTCACTGGCTCTTGGGAGCTCCGTGTTAGTACTGACAATGGTGGTTCCTAGCACAGAGCAAGTACTTGGTTAATTACTATTGGAGAAATTTATTTTAAGGCAAATAAAGAACAAGTATTATATAAGCCATGACAACACTTAAAGAAATAATAAAATTTGCTTGAGGAGGCTGAATGAAAAGAGTTCCCATGAAAACACTGACATCATTTGGAACATTCTGGCTTGCCTTAGTACACACAAGCTTTATGTCCTGCAGACAGAGCATCAGCATTTAAAACTGCACCAGGAGATCGAATAGTTCAATAGTAGATTTTTTATTTAAATTTTTTTTAATTTTACATACTACCCCAGTTCCCCCTTCCTCCTCCTCTCTCCCACCCTCATCTCCTCCCTTCATATACACCATCCACTCCTCAGAGGAGGTAAGGCCTCCCTTGGAGAGTCAACTAAGTCTGGCACACCAAGTTGAGGCAGGACCAAGCCCCCCCCCCCCCCCCTGAAGCTAAGACCATCATTGCTACAGGATAGCCCTGTTTTACAACAGCCAGTTCTCCAAACTGTGGAGAGTCTCTGGTGTCCGAATAAGAATGGCCCCTGCACATGCACACATTAGAATCTTTAGTCAGCACAAGTGAAACTCTTTGCTAGGATTAGAAGGACCAGGAGGTGTGGCCTTGTTGGAGAAAGTACACAGGCTTTGCATTTCAAAAAGCCCATATAGGGCCCAGTATCTCTCATCTCTGTTTCTCTCTTTCTGCCTGTGGACCAGGATGCAGCTCTCAGATACTGCTCCAGGGTCATGCTCCCCGCCCCATGATGATAATGGACTAAGTCCCCTGTTGAATGCTTTCCTTCGTAAGAGTTGTCTTGGTCACAGTGTCTCTTCACAGCAACAGAACAGTGACTAAGACAGACCCTTGAGTTTCTTTATATAGTGGAAATATTTTCATTTAAGAACTTTCAGATAAATCCTTTTAGTCAGAGGATGTATTTTCTGTGTCACATAAACAAAGGACTAAATGTTCTTTTCTAAAAACTGACATTCTTCAGAGTTACTAAATTAATGTAGTAAAACAAAAAACCTCTTAAGCATTCTTAAAACTACTAGCTCTCAAGCTGGAGAGAAGGCTCAGCAGTCAAGGGTATTGGCTGCTCTTCCAGAGAACCCAGGTTAAGTTCCAGCATTCTAACAACTGTCTGCAACTCCAGTCCCAGATCCGATACCTTCTACTGGGCACGCACATGGTACACAGACAGACACACAGAAAAACCACCCAGACATATATACAATCTCAAAACACAAGTAAAACCCTACTGGGTTTGTTAAAGTGCACTGTGTTCTGGCGAGACAAATTGTGGAGTTGATAAAACCTGCTCACACTTCATGGTTAGCTGTCGACTTTTCCTCCTTTTACCCACATTTCCTCTGTTTTGGTTTTGTCTTCTTTTTCTTAAAGTTTTATTTTATTTTTAGCTGGTTATGATGGTACACAGCTTTAATCTCAGCACCGAGGAGGCAGAAGCAGGTGGATCTCTGAGTTTAAAGCCAACCTGATCCAAAAAGTGATTGTTAGACCAGCCAGGGACACATTATAGAACCCTGTCTAAAAATAAATAAAACAAAACAAACAGACCCAAGAACCAACCAACCAAAAAGATTTATTTTATCTTTAATAATGGATGTCTGGGTGTACAGATGTGTGTGTGAGCACAAGAGCCATCAATCCCTCCTGAGGCTGGAGTTAAGAGCCCTGACATGGATGTTGGAAGTCAAACTCTGGTCCTTCACCACAGTGTGTGCTCTCAATGGCTGAGACATCTCTGGGCCCTCTCCCGTACCCTTAAAAGATCCACATAAATTTTAATTCTTTGTAAAACTTAACCTTTTTGGACCAAAGTAATCTTTCTTTTCTTTCTCTAACTTAACTGCATGATCCATTTTGAGACTTGATAATGACTGGTCATTGCTATTTCAGTGCTTATACATTATGCGTTCAAATATAGTTTCTCAGAGTAGAAACTACTGATTTTCTTTTTTTTTAAAGTTCAATTTTTAAATATTCATTTATTTATTATGCATACAATATTCTGTCTGTGTGTATGCCTGCAGGCCAGAAGAGGGCACCAGACCTCATTACAGATGGTTGTGAGCCACCATGTGGTTGCTGGGAATTGAACTCAGAACCTTTGGAAGAACAGTCAGTGTTCTTAACCTCAGAGCCATCTCTCCAGCCCCATCTACTCATTTTCTTTCCTACTGATCTTTGCTATCATTGGTCAGGATATCACATACCTATAACCCCAGCACCTGGAAGGAGGAGGTAGGAATTCAAGGTGGCAAATTTGAAGCTAGACTGGGTTACCCCTGTCTCAAAATCTTAACCCCTTCACCAAAAATGCCCCAACATTTTCTGATACAGTTAGTACCAAGGAACATAGAAGTGAATGACGCTTTACCTGCAGGGTTCTGGAGCTGCTTCATCAGTTCGTCAAGCTTAACCTGGGCATCAGGCAAGTCCATCTTATTAACTGCCAAGAGTGCAGGTTTTGTCTGGAGCTCCTCTTTGTATAACTCCAACTCCTTTAAATAAAAAGAAAAACCAAGTAATTTTATATCACTATGTGTATAAATGAGTACTATGGCAATATTTCTTTAATGACTTGGAAAATCTGGGGCTTATTCACATCACCACAGGGTAATAAATTCCAACAGCTATAAAACCAACAAAAGAAATTCAGAAAATGATTTTTACTAAACCATGTGAATAAGATGTTAGCTCACATGACTTCCCAGAAGCAGCTGATTTTGTGCCTAGAGCCAAATGAAAGTAACAAGACTCAACAGAGAAAAGACTTATTCATAGGCCAATGATAACAATTCAGTATTGTTGCATTCTCAGACAAGGCATATGTACTTAGTAAATTTCAAAAGCTTTGGGGTTGCTAAAGAATTAAAAAAAACCAGATTGGGTAGTTAGGCTTCTTCCTGTGAGTGGTTAACATGTCACTCAGTCACAGATGCCTAGTAAGTACCCAGTCTAAAGCAGGAGCAAAGAGCTGGCTATCGGTTACAGATTTGGCAGTCAAGGCTACATTCATTGTAAGCAATGGGAAATAATGGCAGTGGGTAAGATCACAAATAACTCTCAGTAACCTTGCTTAAATGGTAAGACAAGTGCTGGGGTTACAGCTTATCAGTGGAATGCTTGTGCTGCGTTCATGGCTTGATCATCAGTACCTCCACAAAAGGAGAAAAAAGAGTGAGCAGGGTTATTAAGTGGGGAATGCTTCAAGACAGACACCAGGGCAGAAGAGAGGTCAGCTGAGAAGGGACGTGGGGCACGAGAGGGCGGTACCCACGTAATAATGAGAAACAGGGAATACTGAAGAACTGGAAATAGCAACTTTTATTCTTTAACTGGATAAAATCTTTAAAAGGGTGATTATTCTGATTACTGTGTGACTCGCATACATGGAGAACTAGCTCCAGAAAACAGTAAACCAAAAAACTTACTTTTGTAAGAAGTATTATTGTTTCAAAGGCAGTTCTGTATGGAGTTACAGAAGAAAGCTGAAATCCCGAAATATCAACCTAAAAAAAGAGAAGAGAGAACCCAGAACATAAAACGGTTGCTCAGTTCTATGCTTAGCAATGTCTTCTCTCTGAATCATTTCTCAATCTACATTTTACTGGCAACTTAGTCATGAAGTGCAAGAACAGAAATTAAGTTGTTATGATAGCTGCAAGCATTACTGTAAAATGAGTCACTGGTGAAAAACTAGTACAGATAATTGATATTATTATAAGCAATCTCATCCATAACTTAAGCATCACCAATTAAGAATATAAGATACTATAGAAGAGCATGCCAAAATCTCCAGGAATCAAGTCTTGGTAAGTCTGGCCAAACATACACACAACACAGTAGCAACAGCATTTCCATCCCCACGCTATAAACAATGATCTACTGACTTGTCCCCGCTGAGACAGACTTACTGGAGTGATATGCATTACTACAGTCATGTACCTAATACCAGAGCTACATTCTGAAAACATGCCCAATGATCTTATCACCACGTGAACTTACAGAGCATGATCACACATCTAAGATGGCTCTGATGCCACCAGGTTGTAAAAGCCTTTGATGCCTCTATAGGATGGACAACAGGCCATACAAAGTATTTCTAGGGAACCCGAGCTAACTCATCTGAACATCACACTGGATGTGACTTACAACAAAGAGCAGCTGTCTGGTCCGCTCTACGTGCTTGAGGAATTTGTGGCCCATTCCTTTGTTCATATGTGCTCCTTCTATCAAACCTGGGAGGTCGGCTACTGAAATCTGACATAAAAGTAATGATTTGTTGAAAAATGAAAACAGATGAGAACCAAGTTCAATTATTCCCACATTTTCTTATTTCATAGTTTCTAATTAAGCACTCTATGGTACCTTTGAAATAAACATGTTAAAAGGTTTCATCAGATATCAGAATCCTGTTTTAACTCATGAGTCTACCAATCTATAGATATTGAAGGATTAGTATAGTATTTATTACTTTAACAGTTACTAATAAGGTAAGTTTGCAATTTTCTTCTCACAAATAACTCAAATAATTAATGTGTGTATATGTTTTAATGTATCTTTTGGTTTCTTTCACTGAGCAATATGAACTCAAGATCTTCTATAACTTTTCATGGCTTTATAATCTATTAATTTTTAGAACTATTTTATTCTCCAGATGTAACAGTTTATCCATAACCATACTGAGATGGTGTAGGAGGTCCTTCTGTCTTTGTGTTGCTTTCATTGGTTAATAAGGAAACTGCAGTTGGTTAGCCATTTGTGGAAGAAGCTGCTCTTGCCTGAACTGCTGAACTGGACATGCAGGACCTACAGAGAAATGACTGCTCAATTTGCCTAAAGGTGAGATGATCTTTCGGGGTTTCCTGCTTCATGATACTATGAGCCTATAGGCTAAAATGGATGCCCCAATGGTACAGAAGAACTTTGGGTCACTGTCCAGGCAGCGAGATGTCTCTGTCAATTCTAGAGTTTTGGAAGTTGCTTACAATACACTTCCTGTTTACTTAGATAATATTTTATCCTTCTGGAGTCTTTGATGGAGTTAAAAATTTATAGTTACAGTTTTCCTTAGTTATGATAAAAAATAAATAAAAATATTAGAACTGTAATTCTTGCTTGATACCTGCTATATGTAATTTTACTATGTTAAAGCCTTCCTCTTTGTCTAAACAGAAAAGGGGTGGGTGGTGGTAGTACACACCTTAATCCCAGCACTTGGGAGACAGAGGCAGGTGGATCTCTGTGAGTTTAAGGCCATCCTGGTCTACAAGAGCTAGTTCCAGGACAGGCTCCAAAGCTAAAGAGAAATTCTGTCTTGAAAAGCCAAAAAAAAAAAAAAAACCACACACACACACACACAAAAACAACCCCAAAACCCAACTAAACAGAAAAGGGGAAATGATGTAGGAGGTCCTTCTATCTTTGTGTTGTTTTCATTGGTTAATAAAGAAACTGCTTTGGGCCCTTGATAGAGCAGAACTTAGGTAGATGGGGAAGACAGAACTAAATGCTGGGAGAAAAAAAAGGTGGAGAAAGAGAAAGACACCATGAAGCCACCAAAATCAGACATGCCAAATCTTTCCTGGTAAGCCACTGCCACGTGGCAATACATAGATTAATAGAAATGCGCTAAATCAAGGTGTAAGAGTTACCCAATAAGATGTTAGAGCTAATAGGCCAAGCAATGATTTAATGAACATAGTTTCTGTGAGATTATTTCGGAGCTAAGCTAGCTGGGCAGCTGGGATGAACAAGCGGCCCCCTTCCTTGCAACATTGAGATTCTTAATTGCTCCAAGTTCTAGTAATTATGAATAAAGTTGCTAGAAACACCTATGTGCAGGCTTCTCTATATATAGAAAGAAACTCTAGGGCATAGTTCTTCCTTTATGAAGAATGTAAAGCAAACCTCAAAGCAGCCTCTTCCCCAGAACCAGAAAGCTGGAATCAGTTTCCATAGAAGCACTATAGTTTCAATTGGAAGTGCTTTCAGGAACTGGAGATTAACAATTCACTGGGGAAATATGGGCATATACTGACAAGAGACAGACTAGGAAGACACAATTCCATTGGGATGAAATAAGCACAGCACTTCCAAGAACAGGAATTAAATTCTTGTTTTACTATAATAATGCTAAACAGAATCCATAGCTATACTTACCATAAAAACAACAAAAACCTCTGTTTTTTCCTCCAAGACCACAAACACATGTAAATATAAAAGTCCTACTACTGGAGAAATGGTTCAGTGGCTAAGAACACATATTGTTCTGCATAGGATCTAAGTTCAATTCCCAGCACCCAAATCAAGCAACTCACAACTGCTTGTAATGCCACCTCCAGTGACTGATATCCATCTGACCATATACAAACATAAATTAATAACAATAGTAAATATTTTGTTTTGTTTTTGATTTCTTTTTCAAGACAGGGTTTCTCTGCAGCTTTAGAGCCTGTCCTGGAACTCGCTCTTGTAGACCAGGCTGGCCCCAAACTCACAGAGATTCACCTGCCTCTGCCTCCCGAGTGCTGAAAATAAAGGCGTGCACTACCACCACCCAGCAATAGTGAATATTTTTAAAACTCCTACTACTAAAAAATTCCTACAACTTCTAAAGATGTGTGTGTTTTACTTTAAAAATACCAACCTGTTTGAAATCATTGTACATAATCTTTCCAAGTTCAGGCTTTAGTGTTGTAACTGAAAGGAAAAAGGACAGTAAATTAGGGAAAGAATAAAAGACGAATTCTCTAGAATAATGTCAACATTGTATAGAATGAACAGTATCTTCCTTCTGAATATTTAATCCCACTGTAACTCGCTGAAATGGAAGCCACAGTTCTCTCTATCACTCAC